TTGGATTCCAATTTGAGGAACGTATCCCCCCACCCCCAAAACAATGGTCTATTTTTAGCAAGTGACCTTGGGTGACGAATTGGATAGTGCATTTGCCTTTCACCAAGGTTGCCAGAGTTTCATTCCCCGATTAGACAAAAAAAAGGTATAGGATCCCCTGCCTGACCACTTTAATTTCTCCAGGTATTTGATTTAATAAACCTGAAAAATTCTAAGTAACCCAGAAGATCAATAAACCTATAAATGATTCTCAGTAACCCAGGAGATCAATAAACCTATAAATTCTCAGTAACCCAGGAGATCAATAAACCTATAAATTCTCAGTAACCCAGGAGATCAATAACCTTGATGAGTTCTCAGAAAATAAGAATAATAATAAACCTGTTAAATTCCAAGTTCCCAAGATGATCAATAAACCTTATAAATTCTCAGTAACCCAGGAGATCAATATACACCTGATAAATTCTCAATAACCCAGGAGATCAATATACACCTGATAAATTCTCAGTAACCCAGGAGATCAATATACAGCTGATAAATTCTCAATAACCCTGGAGATCAATACACCTGGTAATTTCTCTGTATTTCAAAAGTTCCTGCACATTTAGCCACTTACCACAGTTGCAGCTAGGTATAGCTAGCTTCAGTCTCTGTACCTCTGATACACAGTATCTTATGTTCATGCCAGTATCACTTGCAGCAAAATGGCACAAACCTCTTTTAACTCAGTGTCTGCACCTTCAATGCTAAAGCCTTCTCCACAACAGAAACAAAATGTGTAAACCTCAGCTGCAGTTCCTTCGAATGCAATATTCTAAGCAAACTTCTCCAAATGATGAATCACACTCCAGCAAATGTTCTCTGAAATTTCTCTCTATAATTGACAGTAGCTATATTTATATATGGTACAAACCTTGTTATACAAAGGCCTAAGCTCACCTGTATGTCTAACCTATGATTCCTCCATGCAGGTCAGTAGGATAAACCCAACAGGCTGTCAGGAAGATGACTGTGTTAATCAACTCCCTTCTCATTTATCTCACCTGTACTCAGGTAGCAGTCAGCCAGGTACAGGTCAACTGTCCACTATGCACTGGACATTAGTCAGCTGGATTAACAATCTACACTGACACAGGGCAACTGGCCACAATGTGAGACCAGCAAGTCGCCTTACAAATCCACACGGACAATTGATAAAGTCTGTTGTAGCGTTGTCTGTGCCTTCGCCAGGGACAGTACCGACATTATCTGTCACCGAATCTGCATCGACATTTTACCTTCAATTATCAACATAGTCCTGCTTAAATCAGTCGTGCCTGAGTGGGTTTCCATACAAAAACAGTGTGCTTTGGGCTCATATACACTGCCTTATCACCACGAACATCAGCATAACACCATGCAATTATCAAAATAATTACCCGTCCATTACGTTTGGCAAAAAAAGGAACAGCCCCACAGACAGAACAACATTATCTGGATATATAATAAACAAAACCAGTCAATTCCCCATAAATCCAGCACCTAGCAGTACACCATGTTAATTTATCCCTTTGACCCAAATCTTATTTTCACCTGTCATTATTTCCAGGTAAAGCATTAAACGTTGTAGCACCACCGTAAGGTAACAGTGGTCCGGCAGATCTTAAGAAAATATTGATACTGGCTGACAGATTGAAATGAAACCGGGGTTCCCTAAATGTTCATTGCACTTCATTTCTCGCGAAGAAAGGCAGACAAAAGGGAGATAATAGACAGCATTATACTAGACAAACATGGCCAGCTTTACTCCGCCACTTGTACCGCACTCCGGTCGTCTAAAATACATTAACACAACAAAAATCATTTAGGAAGCAGAATAGGCTCAACTACGTATAGCTCCTGGCGAAAACTACCTATCGTACGACGCTATCAGTCAGTATTGGAGGGAAAAAACCATGATACATGACTTTCTAAACACTGGCCTTAACAATGAATTCATATTTAAACAGTTACATTTTCAAACAGGTAAAACTGTCAACAACAGAGAGCCCGTGTGTATGATGAATGTGTTCGGAACATTAATCACGTTGTAAAATAGTGAATTAATTGTGACACTGTAGCCACCGCCCCCTTCCCCTCCTCTCCCGCCACGGACAACCTTTACAGGCAGAGTGTAACACAAGTGTAATACAAATACATCTCACCACCTTTAGGGGCTACATAACGGTATGACCTTACAGCTTACATATTAATTCATTATAAAGGGTCAAATAGTCTGCATCAAGCTGTAAGAAACAACAGACATATACAGTGGAAAATATTATTGTAACAGGACCTGAAAAATGCACGGCCAGCGGCCAGTCCAGGGTTCAGACCCTGGCCCCTACAAACTTTAGATGGACGCTCTACAAATTTAGATTCCTGGTCACCGACAATCAATTCTCAGCCCAGTTCCGCTACATTATGTAATGAAAAATTTGAAGGATTTTTTTTAATTTTTTTGTCATTTATTGAAGAATCCTGATGAGTAACACAAGTAAAAATGTCAACAACACAGAAATCATCTAGGATTATTTGTTTTGTCATGTATCATAGAATTCTGGTGAGAAACAAAGGGGTATAATCAAGATTTTAGCACACTAATGAATGCAATGGTGAATGTAGACAGATTAAAAGAATTCTCTCCAGTTACTGCACTGAAAATTACCCAACAGGCCTGAGTAAGGCATAATCATGAATAACAGCCTGATACCAGGGATGTTACAACGTTTGTTATGGAGAACGGAGAAGAAAGGAGCGGCATTACACTGCCACCTGAGTTCGCGGACCAGATTTACGGAGCGTGTAAGTCTGGCCCGAGCCATATAAACTCCTGTACTTTATCAACCCATCTCTATCTTTGCCTTATAAAACACAAACACCAAACACAAGCATTGACAGTTCACCCAGAGTTACCCCTCCTCACAAGGTTTTGAAATTTGATAACATGGAGCTTAAATTTTTCAGTCACACGTGAAAATCACAGAGCAAGTCTAGATAAAAACAGTCGTATACAACAGGGTAGACTGGGACAACAGCATCACAGCACAAGCCTACCATACATAATAGAAAAATTACCCCTGACCCCAGCAGGTCAAATATCATTATATTCTTGGCCTCGTGGTTCATAAAAAAGAATTTGTTAAAAGATTTTGGTAAGAAATTAAGTCAAACTCCTATATTTTAAGAATTTTTAATGTCTCTCCCAGGTTCAACTACATGCTAAATATTATGCCACTTTTTTTTTATCTTTAAAGAAAATAGAAAACGTTTGTAGAAAAACTCATATGCCCCTGATCCTAGTTTGAAAGAAATGTAGCTATATGCAAAGTCTAACCAAAGTCTAACTAAAGAAAGTATAGGTCACTGGGACAAAATGTAATATGATGGTATAGTTTGCCTTAAGATGTACCTGTATCTAACATTTGATGACTTTGGGTCTTGTAATATCAAAGAAATGGTGCTAAATACAGGTAAATGACTAAATTCTGCGCCATGAGCTAAGCAAACATCACATGTATCACTTTTGCCCTTCGCCCATGGAATCAATTTTTGCCCTGGGTTAATTTTTGCCCTGTGTTCTGTGTTAATTTTTGCCCTGTGTTATTTTTTTGCCATGTTAATTTTTGCCCTGTGTTAATTTTTTGCCCTGTGTTAATTTTCGCCCTTTACATCGGATTACTATGTATATCATGTTGTTCACTTTTATTCGCTGTTGTGATAAATTTGCCTTCATGACGGAGGGCAAAAAAGGTGAAAAAATAATCTGCAGCGAAAAATAAAATACTGTTCAAAACGACGTACTATTCCTACAGAAATACGTCCAATATTTCTGTTATGTTTACTTACATTACACGATGGCCATAATCACCAGCTGTTACTGTGATGCTTAGTAATCTATATCATACTTATCACAAACAGCTGTTACTTCTCATTATTGACAAATTCAGATTTTCCACTTTTTCAATTAAAGGTTTAAATTTGCAATAAATTCAAAGTTTTATAACAAAAAGGACATTTACAATAAATGGGATAGGACAAAATAGGGATCAATTGCCACAGGATATTTATACAGAAGTCAGCAGTATGTCTACAGCTTGTCTTCAATATGTCTGCACTACCATGAGAGGGGAGGGTGGTTGTACATATTTGTGTAAGTAATAAATGCTAGAATAACAGCTGGGCTAGGGAGTGATCTCCCCTGATCACACATAAAACTATATTCTTACATCACCAGATTCTAACTATCTATATAACCTATATTTGGACTGCAAATTCAAAATAATTATCTTGAATAACATTATAGCAACTGGTCTTATTTCTCACAAAGTAAAATTACTATAGTCCAATAGGAGTTACTTCCCCTTTTACGGATAAACATTTTTGAGAACATGTGTATTTCAAAGGTTTTAAATGGCTGACATCAGGAAAAATTACCCCATCTTTCCCACAGTAAAAATGATACACAACACGTTAGAAAGAGAACTTTGTGTAGCAAAAAACTTTCGACTTCCTTGAACTGTGACAAAAGCCTGTTGATGTCTTTGAAACCAGGATATCAAATGTTTAAGATATCATATAGTTCATGTGAAAGAAGGATTGCTTCACATATGATCACATTCTTATCACATAATGAATAACATACTCTCATGCTTGTGGTCATTTTAATGTGAAGACAGGAAACTTTCACTCTGTCAAATTTTTGCCCTTAACTGGTAGAAACTGTTTTCTAGCAGTGTTAATTTCACCCTTGACATGTCATTGCTTTGTATAGTTGTTCTGTACTTATTTTGACTGTCGTGATAAATTTTGTTCTCGTTGCTTTTTTGTTTTTAGTCTCAATGTGCTGACAATGTTCACTGCACTATCTCCCATCCTGACAACAGAAGCAGTTATACAACCTCTTGTTACCTAAACACTCACCTTGGAACTTTAATTTGAACAAGTAAAAAATAACAAAACTGGCACACTGCAGTACTCACGTTTTGTCTCTTTTTGAAGGCAGATGAGGTGTCGACAATGCCACTCTGACAGCTGAAGATACTGGTGAAAGCTAGACACGTTATTCCTGTGAAATGTTCCACAGAGACTGTCCGCGCCTCCAGTGCGATGTTCTCCGAGTATTTGGTGATATTCTGCTTCCTGGAAAGCTGCTGGTGAGGGATACCCTCGACAACGTTCACCAACCTGTCAGGACAACACAGTTCTGTGAAACATCTTATCCTCATGAATATATACTTTTAGCAATTGTGCATAAATGTCACAAATAATGAGAAGATATCACACAGAATATACGTGGTTTATCACAGCAAACACCATTATTTGAGATAACCTTCTAGTGATGATGCAGTTATCTTCCTTTGAGTGACACAAACTATATAGTTTACCCATAATAATCAAACTATGAATATTTATTCTTTTAACTGAATACATCCCATGCTGAAATATTAAAAGAAAAAAAAGAAAAATCGCATCAGTATACAAAATATTTTTTAAAAAAGAATATTTATCAATTTTTCCCAATTTTCAGTGTAAGAACTTATACCCTTGTTAATAGTACCTTTCCTAGATAGGAGTTATCTCCCCTACCACACACCCAATCGTACCAGCCACATACCTGGTACAGGCCTTGGAAGCCTTTTGCTCCGACAGGAACATTCCGGCTGGTAAATTCAGCAGCAGGCTCACGATATTCAACAGCACATCTGCCAACTGTTACAAAACATCCAACGTTAATTAATCTGTGCTATATTTTACATACTGTAAACAAAATAAGGTTTCAGAATTTCATGAAGAACAAGACCTTCCAACATCATGCCTGCCAACTTTTTAAACATTTCCATGGGGGAGATTCTGCAAACTGTAAATCAAAACATAAATAAAATGTGTGTATATCCCCTTCAGACAAAATAACCCTTTAAAATGGTATCCTTTGAGTAATTCTCTCTGATGAAATCATTAGATCTTAGATATAGGAATATGCTAAACTTAAGGGTCCAAACCTGGGAGTCTCCCTCCTAAATAGATAGAGTTGACAAATATTCGACATGTTAAGACATCATAGTAATGTCTTGAGGGAAGATCAAAATATCATGGGAAAGGAGATTGTAGGTTGGGCAGGGTAGCCAAAAGGGTGTGGCAGATATCGGGTTTGGGGTGTTGTGGGAAGAGGCGGGATGTGGAGGCAATGTTGGATGGGTAGTGCAATGAAGAGGTGGGGCAGGGGAGGGATTGGGAGTAGGGCTCAGATGGGGAGTGCTCAGGGGGATCTAAAAATAAAGAGTAAGAGGTAGAGCAGGGTGAGGATTGGGAGTAGGGTTAAGATGAGGAGTGCTCAAGGTGATCTAAAAATAAAGAGTAAGAGGTAGAGCAGGGTAGGGTGTAGAGTAAAACTAAGAGGCGAGAGGCAGGAAGGATAAGAGGAAGAAAAGATAATTGGAGGAACGAAGGATAAGTGGAAGATTAGACAGCTGGACACAGAAAGGATCAGTGAAAGATTATAAATTGCTGAACAACAACATTTACAGACTGTCTTTTTTGTCACATTACCTCTTCCTGTTGGTAGGCAAAAGGTGCCATCCTGTCGAGGGCACGCGACACCAGGGTCAGGTCGGTGGAATATGACAGGTGGTTAGGTATCAACACCAGCCTCTGGAGGTCACGCATTGTCCGCAGCAGGCCACTCGAGTTACTTAGCAACTGAAACAGAACACAGGAAGCAACATGTCATTTTTTTCTTGAAATTAATATTTTCGCTGTTCACTATACAAAACATAAACATGAATGACACCATAGTTCACACCATAGCAGTCAATGGGAGGTTTTCACTACTGGCACACAGACAATTCTAACTGTTACTGTGAATCTGTAGCTTTAGGTTCCTTAAGTCTGTTAAAATCGACAAAGTATTCATATTTATATTACACACACAATTGGGAAGCTAATGTATAAACAAATTTGTTGGTTTCGTATTGTCTCAAATGAAAATTGTTGTTTTTTCTTTTCTTTTTTTACATTTTTTATCAGACTCATATTTACATATGATAAAGTTGATACAAATAGTCTTCTGGCACATTTCATTCCGAGTCCTTTAAGTTATTCACATCATAGCTGTATTGAAGTTTTTAGTTCAGCTGCAGTCACAAAAACCATAAAACACTGAGAGCAAGTATTATGATACAGTAATAGATTCTATAAAACGTAACTCCTGAAAAACGATGACTTGATGATCATAAAACCTGTCTAATCTGTACAAAACTTATAAATATCCAAATGTATCATTAACAACAAGAGCGAGTTCATAAACAAGCAGCATTTGTGCCTCTGAGCAATCAATGGTATTTAATTACACAAATTAATGAGTTGAGAGGAAAAAACTTCCGATGAAAATATTTGACTTTGAAGCGGAAATTGCTATAAGGCACTACAGAGGTGCCTCGTTAAGATTCTTTCGAGGATGTAATTATCTAACCCAGCAGTGACCCAATTAACGGAGTAGTATATGACCTATATATATAGATCTATAAATATCATAAATACACTTCTTTAATCATCATCATATCAAAAATGGGCTACTGTTTTGTAAGGAAGCAACAGAGAATTCAACGACAACTAGAAATGTGTGCAAGACATAATTGAGATATTAGTGTCAGTTTGACAATAAGTCACAGTGACCTTGACCTTAGAACATGAAATATGAACTCACAGGTTTACTCATGCTTAATCTTTGTATCATTGTTTTTTATCAGTCATCGAGAAATTAAGTTACTAGAGTGATGACAATGCATTGGTAGAAAAAAGAAAAAAAAAGAATAACGGTGACCTTGGCCTTGACCTTGGAATCCAGAAATATTTTAGGCATTCTCATGCATGCTTGATTTTAAAAGTTTGATCAAAATCTGTAACGAGATAAAGTCGCTAGAGCGATGACATGGAATCAGGACGAGATGCAACAGGATCAACAAGGGTACCATTATATGCCTCCGTCCCTTGGCGAGGGTATAACAAATATCTTAAATCAGTGGTGAAATTGTATGAATGCATTAAAAAAGTTCAGTACATTCAGACACCATTTCTTCATACATATCAGAGTTCAGTACATCGAGATAACCATATGCAAGAAAACATGTCCGTGAGACAGGTTATATAGACAATCTGTACAATCTTTGATGATTGTAGTAAACTTCTTAACACAATTTTTGAGTTTAGAATCTGTACTTACGTTGTCTGTTAGACTCTCGCCGATAGACTGGAGTTGACGAGTTGTATCACTGGTAAATTCACACTGGTCAACATTGAGATCGCGCCAGTGACCCTCCGGCGTGCAGTCATACGTTGCAAGTCTTTCCCGGCCTCGCTTACAAGGAAGCTCACTGCGTACGCCTGCTACTGTTTTCGGCCATTTGTAAACGCCCCGTTCTGTTTTAGATGTGATTGCTATGCAATACAGGGCAGAGCTGGAGATGACAACGATGTTGATGTCATCCGAGACGTTGCCCTGTGGCGTGGTCACCATACACTGCCAGATACCAGTGTCGTCCTTCCCAAGGTCATCAAGTAACAGTCTTTGTGTCATCATAGTTCTGTCCTGTGACGTGTAAGTGTGCACAAAGATCCCAGCAGAGCGATTGGTCGTTACCACGCCACCCTTTCTCACCCAAAACATGTGCATATTGTCGTCAACGACAGATGCCTGACACTCAAATGGAATCTTGTCTCCCTCAAACACAACCTGGCTTTTACTGGGCGTGATCTCAAACAGTGGCAGCTCCAGTGGGCGATCTAGCAACACAAGCAAAACGATCAGTGACAAATAATGATAATCACAATCAATGCAAACTGCCTTGTTGCTGTTGAACCAAATAGCAATTGTAACATTACCTAGGTTTACTTTAAGACATTTTACTCAAAATGTGTATGTTACCAAGCTATTTAGGATTCCATGCAAACAATTTATACACTACACTAGACAAACAACTCAAGTTATACGCAATCTGTTTTCCTTGCGATTAAGAATAGAAAAGTAAGGTTGTAAAATTAAGTGTGTAAGAAATATACATAATCTATACAAAATCCTATTATGGTAGATACCCTATGAAATATCCCATACCTATATTCTACCCTAATGATGTACAACCAGCTGACTGTAACATTTATCATCTTTCCCAAAGGAGTTCTACACCATAAACTTGTACAATTTAATTAATGCAAGGTAATTACCTGAGGACAACTTTGAAAGGCAAACATGAAAGAGTTTATTTTTATTCATTTTTAAATTTACAATATTACAATAGATAATAAATTAAGAAGTAATAATTGAAATATATTTTAAAATACATAAAGGGAGATACCTCATACACAAGCTATAGTACAATGTATGAGCAAGGTAACCAAATAACCTGAACAGAGTACCAGTCAGATACAAGGGTACATAGGTACTTATGAGTTGTTGACATTGAGGGATCGATCAACAGACACATAAGTAACCGGGAAGGGCAGACAGACAGACAGACAGACAGACAGACAGACAGACAGACAGACAGAAGAGAACACTGACCTCCTCCCGTGTCTGACCATCGGTCAGTAATTACTTAGATGTCCACCATTATACCAGTAAATCTTTGTCTGACCTCATCCCCGAGATAAATGTGTTTGCAGAGGAGCTGCATTCTATACATAGCCACAGTTTAAGCAATATCAGTGTTTATGGGCAGTAGGGGTGGGGGGATACATGCACAAGTATCAGATCGGTGGTTATGGGCGATGGGGGATACATGTTCAAGTATCAGATCAGTGTTTATGGGCAGTAGGGGTGCGGGGATACATGTACAAGTATCAGATCAGTGTTTATGGGCAGTAGGGGTGGGGGGGAAACATGTACAAGTATCAAATCAGTGTTTATGGGCAGTAAGGGTAGGGGGATACATGTACAAGTATCAGATGAGTGGTTATGGGCAGTAGGGGTGGGGGGATACATGTACAAGTATCAAATCGGTGGATATGGGCAGAAGGGGTAGGGGGATACATGTACAAGTATCAGATGAGTGGTTATGGGCAGTAGGGGTGGGGGGATACATGTACAAGTATCAGATCAATGTTTATGGGCAGAGGGGGTGGGGGGATACATGTACAAGTATCAGATCAGTGTTTATGGGCAGTAGGGGTGGGGGGATACATGTACAAGTATCAAATCGGTGGATATGGGCAGAAGGGGTAGGGGGATACATGTACAAGTATCAGATCAATGTTTATGGGCAGAAGGGGTGGGGGGATACATGTACAAGTATCAGATCAGTGTTTATGGGCAGTAGGGGTGGGGGGATACATGTACAAGTATCAGATCAGTGTTTATGGTTAGTAGGGGTGGGGGATATATGTTCAAGTATCAAATCGGTGGATATGGGCAGTAGGGATGGGGGATACATGTACAAATATCAGATCAGTGTTTATGGGGCAGTAGGGGAATACATGTACATGTACAAGTATCAGAGATCAGAAGTAGGTTCCACCAGCATCTTGTGGCAGATTTTAACTGTACATTAGATTACAGTCGTCTTCTAGCTTCGCGCTAGAGGGAATTTCTCTTTACCTCAGTGGTAGGAAGTTAGGGATCGCACTACTCTCTTTCCTGTTACAATCTCAACCAACCACTTCATGACTTTCAACTAGCATGACTAGAGGTGCAATGACAGAGAGGCTTGTCATCTGCCTTGATCATTCCGTAGTTGACATTATTCTTGTCTATTATTGTCAATGTGATGGAGGGATGTTGTCACAATTCTACGATTGCATGTACCCTCAAACAAGTATATATATATGTGTGTCTGTGTGTCACAAAAATAGGCTGGCCACTATATATACAATCATTTTGTGTCAATGTGACATATTGTTATGTGTGCCCGAACAGAACTAGAATCTACAGCTGTATCCTGTTCCTACTACTACCCACTCATTATTTCAGACCCAGGATACGAGTGTCAGCCACACTGCTGTTTTTTGTATATTCCCCACCCCTGGGGCAGTACCCAAAGAACCTAATGACCCTAACATCTGTGTAGGTATATAGAACCAGCGGACACTGCAAAACAAATCGCCACACAGACCCAGTAGGGGCCTCAGGACATAACAACCACCTGGAGCACACAATGACTGTCTGGACCACGATCACAATGGTCAAATCATCACTTATGGAGGTGTGTAATGAAATTTGACACTTGAGTGACCTCCCCTTCATGAACTCTTCTATGGGACCATGTAATTACAGGGCCAGTCCTTCCAGGTGACAGACTGGGTCTCTAATAGGCTAAACAAAACTCTGGGGGACGGGTCAAACCTGCGAATCTCTCTCCTACAGCCCTCAGAGCCGTCAAAACTGTGAATTTCTTCATTAAACTTGTGAATTTGTAATGGGTTTTAAAACCACTAAATTGTCTGTGGTGTGATACAATCAAAACCACAAAAGCCGAAGTAAGAGAACTTTCATTTCCTGAAGCGTTCATGCATGTTTCTCATCAGAAGGGTACAAGATAAGAGGCCATTCAATTTTTATTGAGACATGATCATTATAATCTCTAAAGAAGAAGATTGTCTGGTCAATTGGGATGAGTTTGGGTTCTTTGTATGATAACAACTGTCTTCTGTGAAAATATCTGAATGTCTGTACTACCAGTTTAACTCATTCACCCCTGAAATTTCATAATGAACTGTTCCACCCTTTGAATTGGAGGAGTTCAAATGTGTCTTCAGGGGTGAATGAGTTAAGTGGCCTCTCGAAAACTAAGTGGATGTCTATCGGTTGTAAAATTATTTCAGAGAATGATCATTGCCAACTGTATTTGAGAAGAGATCTTATTATTTAATATTTGACAACCTTTTAATTTTTTTCAAGGGGGAATAACCATTTTGAAAAGAATCCAAAATTGTCTAAAACTGTATATCTTCAATTACGCCTAATTGTCAAAATAATACCATAAATGCCACAGTGTATGGCGTTTATAGTAAAAAAGCATTGAAGTAATTGAAATTAAGCAAATGTGAAATATATAGAAAGTTCTGCTGATTTAAAAAGTCAAAAAACATGTTGAAAATGGTAAAAACCACTATTTTCCCTCTGAAATGTGGTATGTTAAGTTAAATCTACTGTATCAAAACAAAATCACATTGTACCAGGGCTTTAAATATAAATAGATATATTTACATAAATAGACATAGAATACATTATGTATGATGACAAACCAAACCTTTGTGGACTATATAATGTCTGCAAATATATTTTCTATTTTCTATTGGCTAATACTAAACATCAACATGTTGTAACACAATTTTTTGTCAAAATTATCCGTTGTGACATCTCATGTGACAAATGAATTCACATTGAAAGACAAAAATAGCTTTTTTTCTTAGTATTTTCTATTTGATTTGGTGATAAAAAACATTATTTTATGTAAGTAACTACATCGTATTATAAAAAGAATCTCAAAGTCCTCTATTCCATCTGACTTCTCTGAGCTTGTCTAAGGAATTCCATAAATGGGAAAATGATTGAGATTTGTCTATGTAATGCATTTTGTATAATGGCCATGAAAAAATTGAGGAAAAGAAAAAATTGAGGAAAAGAAAACAAGACAGAGTCAGGCTACTAACAACTATGAAAAGTATCTTTCAAATGTTTCTAATACTTCTCCCACTAAATTCAATCCCACAGTGTCTAAAGGCTCACGGTCTGACCTTATTTCAGACGATTAGATTTGCATTTGACCAAGAAATAATTGAGTAAAAGAGTTATTGATATATATGGTTCCAGGGGAGAAAACAGTGCCTCCCCTACAGCTTGCCAGGATAACACTACATAATGTTGGGATCAACAGGCGACGGTACAATACCCAATTACCGTTGTCCCTATCAGGATTTCACAGAAACAATAAAACTACGTCTACGGGGCAGATTTGTTGACCTTATTTGAAATCGTAACTTCAAACGATTTATGTGAAAATAACGGGCTTAAATGGATCATTGATTCCGCCTCCATATAAACCTGTCCATCTTGTATTGGTTTTGACTCCAGCATATTGCGTGCTAATACTGTCGGAAGGCAGGCGAATTGTCTGTGAGCGCATATAAAGGATCTAATATAGAGTCTCGCTGGGCAGAGCCATGTCTTAAATCATAACTTAAATATCGTACCACAATGAAGTTCTTTCTTTTTGAGGCTCTTTACAGTGCGATCCTTCAGCTCCTTGGGTACTGCACAGGTTGTCAATGGTTGGATGCGAATATTTTTCTCCTTTATCCATTTTGCTATCCAGCGCAGGTGACAGTCACATCGTAAATAATCGGACTTAAAGTCACTGTAAAAGTAAATCAACAGAAAAATTAATCAACATGAGATCAAAGAGCTGACACTTGTAGCGGACGCTAGGGTAACATCAGATACAGGTAAATCAGATACAGGTAATTAATGGTCTGTATTAAGTCTGAATAATACATTTATTGATCTCTCCAAAATGACAGTGATTCATACCCGATTAAGGTATAATATATTGTAGCGATTCAAACCTAGTACCATGATGCTTACAAATTTATACATCATCTCCGAGATATTTCCTATACAATTCCCAATGATAAAATTACCACAATAACATCATTATCGTTACAAACAATTCAAGTGTTTGATTTCGTTGAAGGCATTTTAAATTTTCAATAAATATTTCATAACACAAATAAAGCACAAAATGACGGACTACATGTACATTAATTATAATAATATATAGTGTATCGGTTAGCAATGTCTATGTTACTTTGTGTAATTAGTAGCAATGTAACTTAGTGTAATTGTACAATGTAACTTAGTGTAATTAGTAACAATGTATATGTAACTCAGTGTAATTAGTAACAATGTAACTCAGTGTAATTAGTAGCAATGTCTATGTAACTTAGTGTAATTGGTAGCAATGTAACTTAGTGTAATTAGTAGCAATGTCTTTGTAACTTGGCAAGGTAGCAATGTCTATGTAACTTAGTGTAATTAGTAACAATGTCTATGTAACTCAGTGTAATTGGTAGCAATGTATATGTAACTTAGTGTAATTAGTATCAATGTTTATGTAACTCAGTATAATTGGCAGCAACATTTATGTAACTTAGTGTAATTGGTAGCAATGTCTATGTAACTTAGTGTAATTAGTAGCAATGTATCTCAGTGTAATTGGTAGCAATGTCTATGTAATTTAGTGTAATTGGTAGCAATGTCTTTGCAATTTAGTGTAATTTGTAGGAATGTCTTTGTAACTCAATGTAATTGATAGCAATGTTTATGTAACTCAGTGTAATTGGCAGCAACATTTATGTAACTTAGTGTAATTGGTATCAACATCTATGGAACTAAGTGTAATTGGTAGCTGTGTTTCTAAACACTTTCTTTGGGTTGGTAAGTATGAATAGTAGAAAGATTATGTATCACAACCAGTAAGTGTTTACCTGTGATTTTTCGGTGACTAGTATGATGTACTCTGTCAACTTTATTACACAAATGACCAGTGAAGCGTATTTAGCTGTGTGTATGTAACGGTGTAACTGGCACGGTAGCAATGCCTTTGTAACTCATTGTAATTGGTAGTGTTATCTATGTAACTCATTGTAATTTGTAGTGTTATCTATGTAAATCTTTGTAACTCATTATAATTGATAGTGTTATCTATGTAACTTACTATAACTGGTAGTGGTGTCTATGTAACTCAGTGTAGCTGGTAAGTGTCTATGTATCTCAGTGTAACTGGTAGTTGTGTCTATGTAACTCAGTGTAACTGGTAGTGGTGTATATGTAACTCAGTATAACTGGTAGTGGTGTCTATGTAACTCAGTGTAACTGGTAGTGGGGTCTATGTAACTGGTAGTGGTGTCTATGTAACTCAGTGAAACTGGTAGTGGTGTCTATGTAACTCAATGTTACTGGTAGTGGTGTCTATGTAACTCAATGTAACTGGTAGTGGGGTCTATGTAACTCAATGTAACTGGTAGTGGTGTCTATGTTACTCAGTGTAACTGGTAAGTGTCTATGTATCTCAGTGTAACTGGTAGTGGTGTCTATGTAACTCATTGTAACTGGTAGTGGTGTCTATGTAACTCAGTGTAGCTGGTAAGTGTCTATGTATCTCAGTGTAACTGGTAGTTGTGTCTATGTACCTCAGTGTAACTGGTAGTGGTGTCTATGTAACTCATTGTAACTGGTAGTGGTGTCTATGTAACTCAGTGAAACTGGTAGTGGTGCCTATGTAACTCAATGTTACTGGTAGTGGTGTCTATGTAACTGGTAGTGGTGTCTATGTAACTCAGTATAACTGGTAGTGGTGTCTATGTAACTCAGTGTAACTGGTACTGGTGTCTATGTAACTCAGTGTAACTGGTAGTGGGGTCTATGTAACTCAGTGTAACTGGTAGTGGTGTCTATGTTACTCAGTGTAACTGGTAAGTGTCTATGTATCTCAGTGTAACTGGTAGTGGTGTCTATGTAACTAAGTATAACTGGTAGTGGTGTCTATGTAACTCAGTGTAGCTGGTAAGTGTCTATGTATCTCAGTGTAACTGGTAGTTGGGTCTATGTAACTCAGTGTAACTGGTAGTGGTGTATATGTAACTCAGTATAACTGGTAGTGGTGTCTATGTAACTCAGTGTAACTGGTAAGTGTTTATGTATCTAGTGTAACTGGTAGTGGTGTCTATGTAACTCAGTGTAACTGGTAGTGGGGTCTATGTAACTCAGTGTAGCTGGTAGTGGGGTCTATGTAACTCAGTGTTACTGGTAGTGGTGTCTATGTAACTCAGTGTAACTGGTAGTGGTGTCTTATGTAACTCAGTGAAACTGGTAGTGGTGTCTATGTAACTCAATGTTACTGGTAGTGGTGTCTATGTAACTGGTAGTGGTGTCTATGTAACTCAGTGGAACTGGTAGTAGGGTTATGTAACTCAGTGTAACTGGTAGTGGTGTCTTATATAACTCAGTGAAACTGGTAGTGGTGTCTATGTAACTCAATGTTACTGGTAGTGGTGTCTATGTAACTGGTAGTGGTGTCTATGTAACTCAGGGTAACTGGTAGTGGTGTCTATGTAACTCAGTGGAACTGGTAGTAGGGTTATGTAACTCAGTGTAACTGGTAGTGGTGTCTTATATAACTCAGTGAAACTGGTAGTGGTGTCTATGTAACTCAATGTAACTAGTAGTGGTGTCTATGTAACTCAGTGTAACTGGAAGTGGTGTCTATGTTACTCAGTGTAACTGGTAAGTGTCTATGTAACTCAGTGTAACTGGTAGTGGAGTCTATGTAACTCAGTGTAACTGGAAGTGGAGTCTATGTAACTCAGTGTAACTGGGAGTGGTGTCTATGTAACTCAGTGTAACTGGTATTGGGGTCTATGTAACTCAGTGTAGCTGGTAGTGGTGTCTATGTAACTCAGTGTTACTGGTAGTGGTGTCTATGTGACTCAGTGTAACTGGTAGTGGGGTCTATGTAACTCAGTGTAACTGGTATTGGGGTCTATGTAACTCAGTGTAGCTGGTAGTGGGGTCTATGTATCTCAGTGTTACTGGTAGTGGTGTCTATGTAACTCAGGGTAACTGGTAGTGGTGTCTATGTAACTCAGTGTAACTGTTTATTGTGTCTATGTAACTCAGTGTTACTGGTAGTGGTGTCTATGTAACTCAGGGTAACTGGTAGTGGTGTCTATGTAACTCAGTGTAGCTGGTAGTGGTGTCTATGTAACTCAGTGTAACTGTTAGTGGGGTATATGTAACTCAGTGTAGCTGGTAGTGGGGTCTATGTAACTCAGTGTTACTGGTAGTGGTGTCTATGTGACTCAGTGTAACTGGTAGTGGGGTCTATGTAACTGGTAGTGGTGTCTATGTAACTCAGTGTAGCTGGTAGTGGTGTCTATGTATCTCAGTGTTACTGGTAGTGGTGTCTATGTAACTCAGGGTAACTGGTAGTGGTGTCTATGTAACTCAGTGTAACTGGTAGTGGTGTCTATGTAACTCAGTGTAACTGGTAGTAGGGTTATGTAACTCAGTGTAACTGGTAGTGGTGTCTATGTAACTCAGTGTAACTGGTAGTGGGGTCTATGTAACTCAGTGTAACTGGTAAGTGTCTATGTAACTCAGTGTAACTGGTAGTGGTGTTTATGTAACTCAGTGTAACTGGTAGTGGTGTCTATGTAACTCAGTGTAACTGGAAGTGATGAAATGTCTTTGTAATGTAATGTAAATGGCAAAGATACCTAAACTAACTGAATACAAATATTTTAATTTTAGATTTGTATGGAACATTTGAGTAAATGGCACACCTCCTGTCACTCCTATTGACAATGCCTCATAACTACCATATATCCTCACAGCGTTCCCCTCCCACCCATCCAATGTCCCTCCCCACCCCCAATTACACACTCTACCCTCCATTGCTCTTAATGGTGTGTACTCTATTGATTGTAAGCTTGAGAAGGACTTCAGTTTTATAGGCAACAAGTCTGTTTTCAATACAGTCAATATTAATTCTGAATAAGGGGTTGAACAATTGATTTACAAGTCAAAGTGTCCACAGTGCTAAAACAAACACACTAACATTTTTTATGGAAGACTGTGCTGGAATTTTAAGTGACACACACAGTAAAATAGCCACCATCGACACACACTTACATTTTGCGGAGGGAGATGAGGTCGCTAAAAGTGCCTTCAGGAATGGTGTTGAGCTTGTTGTAGGATAAGGACCTACAATAAATGACAAGTGCGATGAAAATGACGATAACAAAAACATCCAGCCTCCTGTCAACGCCACAATACATCTCATTAAAAGGGAATAAATACCAGGCTCCGTAGCTCTTGATTCAAATGTCACTACTCTAAGGGCTGGTGAAATTTTAACGAGGTGTTACTTTTCTTTTGTATTTTTTTCCCTCCCCTACAATTTGTAAAGTGAAGAATCATCCAATATGTGGTAAATGTTCCCAAGGTAGGGGTTTTAATACCATTAAGCATTTTTCAGACCAGTACATCAGCTATATATCTACACGTATTTTTATCTAGTATTTTTATCTAGCCATCGCACAAATGAATCAACTTTTTTCCTATGAAAGGTTGAGGAGGCTGGCTGGCTCTTTATGAAGAAAAGATTCACGGGAGCACAAAGGTTATCCTGAATTTGACTTGTATACATATAGATGATACTCACATTTACTTACATAAAAGTACATATAGTGCTAAAGTAAATTTGGGGCTTACAACAGTTTTATCAATTTTAGATTATTAAGTTCATCAATTCTGGAAGCAAAGCATTAAATGAGTAAGTGTCTAAAAGTCCTTTTTCAAATTTTCAAATTTTCAAAATAGAGTATGAAAACTAATTATTTTTTACAATGATCAGAGCCAAGACAATGAATGATAATCTACAAGCCGTTCCAATGCACCCCCACTAGATTCATGTTTTTTATCCGAGTTAAAATTTATAACATGATACTGTATTTATCCTGCAATAAGCCCAGGGGCCAACACAGAATATCTAACTCAAAACATAGTGGTGGGCTTATTACAGGACAATGAAACAGCATTCGTAGGCATGGTCTTATTGCCAGATAAATACAGTAATTTATTCCAAAATGAAGATTTTCAATGATGAAAACTAATAAATTATTTCCTCAAAATTGAAGGATACTTACAGCACTATAAAAGCACCACTTAGCAATCAAACCTATTTGAGTACCCGACCACCATCCGTATATATTTACTCTTTATAGCACTGCATAAATTTCCTGAAATCTTATATTCTCCATAAAAGTTCTAGAATGCTTAATGATTTGACATGTGACTGTGAAACCAGGAAAACTTTTCACCTTTTTTAAAATGTCCTCGCATTTGTCGTCTGTAGACTCTGGTGATCAGATTAACATTAAAATATTGTGTGCATGGCCTTCTATAATGTTATTGTCACCAACATAAAATTCAAATTTAGCTATTAAATATAATGGTGCATGTATCCTTTTAAAACAGGTTTTTCTAATATGAATATAATTTTATATTTTATTTATTGCTAATTATACCGAAATCAAGCAATAAATTTCAGTTTATAATCTCTGAATTATCAATCAAATTAAAAAATAACTCCACACAATCTTTTATGGGCATATCATGTGTTCAATGATGGGAATGGCAATAAGTCTAACAGTTAGTATAACGGCAGGTCCAAACAGGATTTCCCCGACTTTAACGAAATAGTTTCATTTATCTTTCATCTGTTATTGAAGATATATTCACTTAATATTTACAACGGTGCTTCAGAAAGTCATAACCTTTCTACATGTATAAGATCGATAGAATGTTTTTTTTTAAGTAATTGCATCTTAATTTATTCAGATCTGAGTGGATTATCGTTAATCCTATAAGAATTTCATTGAAATCCGTACAGTCTGTGCTCTGATTCTGAATTAAATTGTAAAATTTCATATTTTATTTCACAAACATCCTTAGATTCATTTTGTAGATCTAACTACACAGAAAATAGAAACATTTGAATTCATCGTTAGGTTGAATTTATTGAATTCCTGAAGTGAATTCTAAATGTCTGAATTGAATGACCTGAAGCCACGTGGTGTGCATATGTAACTCACAATTTCTGCAGACTGGACATTCCGGTAAACATGGACGTATTCACACTGCCGATGTTGTTGTAGGTCAGATCTCTGAAACAACAATTAAACAAGATTAAAAAAATAAAATATTCAAAAGTAATAATCATTTTTCTCTGTCAAATTCTTCCAGCAGCTTGCATCAAAGTGTTGATTTATTAATATGTAATTTCAAAATTGCTCCCGAAGTGCTTGAAAAGACAGACAGCTTCTCATTAGAAATTCCAGGTCCTGACAACATTAGGAATGTCAGCAGAATTGTTTGGGTAATTATCAAACCAATTTTGAGCCAAGCATCTGCTCAATGTCAGTGTGACTGGCTGTGACACACCCAGGCTATGTTGTAGACAGGTTATAACGCACTGATCAATAGGCTCAGACACTAAACCATCAAAAATCAGTCCCTCAATTCTCCATTACTGTCGAGATATTTAACAATTCATTCGGTCTATATCTATGAATAAAATATTTAATAATTTTGTGCAAGGAACTCTTGAACGTAAACTCAGGCTTGAAAAATGACACCTCGGAAACCTTAAACATTACAAGACACTGATATTGCTAGAATCACAATCTGGATCATACGAGAGGAAGGGGCTTTAGAAACCAACACCACCAAGTCAATCATGTCATTCAAATTCTTTTCCTTCTGTTTTAATTTTTTTGATCCAGTTTTTTATGATTTTCAAAAAATTTAAAATTAATGTCATTCTGATATGCCAAAGATGATGCTTACATTTGAATTAGAACAACGTTTGTAAATCGTCTGACAAATGCTGGGGCAAGAGCAACCATTTTCACATGTTACAAAGTACAAACGAGGATCAGGTTTGTAACAGTTAAAATTAGATTTCTCACTCAATTAGAACATTTCAAACAAAGCGACTGTCTGCCTTTGTCCTACTGTGTAAGGGTGTGATGGTGTTAACCTTTGAAATGGAGCTCCATTCTCTAACACAATTATCCTCCAACAATCGGAGTCCATCAAAACTGTATAGTATATATACCAGTATATACAACAATCTCCTTGTTTCAGCCCTACAGGGCACTACCATAACATACAAAACCGTTTTAGTCGCAAAATATTTGAAATTCTAACGACAAAATCAACTGTCTTTAAATAAGTACAACCAAATCACCAGTCCAATGGATTCTATCAGATCAACAAGAGGCCCAAAGGGCCTTTATGCTCACACTATTAAAGCTTTATCTTAAAATCTATTTATGTGATTTGATGTTAAACTGTCTGGGGTTTGTTTTCTCCATTCATCAATTTTTTTTCAATATTTACTTGCTACATTTTTCAAATATTCAGGGATGTTACGGTAAATGCAGGGTCACATGACCTTTCCCATGGTGACACAGTGAAGTAACAACATCCTATCGCCTTTGTTGTGTCTAGTGTAATGTATTGACCCAGTAACTCAATAACAGTACCCAAGTGTGCATAGCCTATTGACTTGACTCAAACTTTAGTATTTTTTATTAATAAAATTGCACACAAAAAATGAGGAAATAGATACTTCAATGAATATCAAAGGAGGTGAATGTACTTTGTGACCTCACTTCAAAGTCTAGTGGTCGGGTAGCGTGTGGATATACAGGTGGGACCAGGTAAACAATTACAGGTATCACAGGCACAGGTGTGATAAGGTGTGCTACATCAGGTACGATCAGATGTCTATCTAGATGAACAGACCAATCAGATATTTTGGTGCCTTATTTAGTATAAATTCAACCAGGTAATGCTACACTAAAATCTAATCACTCATTGAAATCTAAACCTTTTCTTATGTCACTATAAAATATAAACTTTATTTATTCCACAACAATTATGAAACAAGTTATTTCAACTTATATTTATCACTCTTGTTGGCCCGGATGTAAGCGCGCGGGGGTCTTGTTGTGGGAGGAAACCGGAGTACCCGGAGAAAACCCACATGGTCGGACAGGTGACCCCTATACCTTTTCACGTCCGATCGGGGAATCGAACCCCGGTCGCCACCAGTGTATGTCACTACATTACAATATATCATAACGTAGACTTATTTAAGAACCAATCAGTTCATTGACATATCAGTATTATAGAGCTCACACCAATCAGTACATTGACATATCAGTATTATAGAGCTCACACCAATCTGCTTGAGATCTAGATCGTTTGACAGCATTTGAAACCCTGGTGTGCAGGTACGTGTGGGTTCGACTCCACGTTTCAGGGCCAACTAATGTGTTAGACTACAGGGCTAGGTTTTAATCAGCTCAGTCATTTAAGGACGGGCCAGGTTTTGGTCATGGAGGAAAACTGGAGTACCTGGGGGAAACCACCAACCTATGGCCAGTACCTGCCCCACTGCGGCCAATCAGACATTAGGGGCTTAAAAATAATTGGAAGATATTGTGAATTTTTGGTCATCCTTTCCCTTAGAATATTAACTGTTTGCTTCAAATTCAACGTAATACATTTGTATGAATGATTAAAAATAAAGAGCAGTTGGAAATATACCTGTGTAAGGGCGCCTCTGATCTTTCAAAAGAAATGGAGACCAGAAACCTTGAGATTAACAAAATACAAATTTGGTTTTAATCAATCAGACCAATGTTTTAGAAAAATTGACAGAAGCCAGGGGACTGGAACAAAAGAGTGGGTGGGTGGGAGTAAATCTTAACGTAGAGTTACATATCTACTGAGGTAGGAAATCATTAACGTAGAGTGTTAGGTAAGATCAATAGATTGATATCGGCCACTAGACTTAAGAGGTTGACACTTACAGATCGTTCCCTTGCTCTATAACTTTAACGGGACACCTAACTGCCATTTCTTGTAGGAGTGTAGTGGAATCGGTCTGGTTTCCTGTCCGCGGCTGTTAATGACATCCTATTTCACTCCTTACCTCAACAGCTACTTCCTCCTCGTACTTGTGTTACATGTCGTACGCGAACACATCCTACTGATTCACACTCGTAGTAGAGAAATTTACTACCTACATTTCTCCAGTCCCATCCTTTTCCAACGAAGATGAGGCAATACTTTGTTGTATTTGCCACACTTTTTTAATTTTTCATGGGGGAGAACATGCATGCTTAGAATTAAGACAAAAATAAAATGTGTGTATGTACACTGTATTAGGACGCGGGGGGGGTGG